ATTACTGTAGCGTTCTGGCTGCTTAATAGCTGGCTCTGGTTTCGCCACTAGAGGTAACCTCAGCTCTCAAAAATATCGTCTCAACAGCTGGAAATATAAAGAATTTGCAAACTTAAAAAAAAAAAACAACTGAACACTTACCTTATATATTGTAACAATTCTGGATACTGATTCCCATCCCTCCTTTTCTAAGAGTTGTTCTTATTTTTGTTTATTCATGCATTTGTTTAGTGACTTGCATGTTATTTTAGTGAAATCTGTTTCCCCTATAGTGTGACACTTTTGGGGTCACATCTCAGAAGGTATATAGCCTTGGGCATGTGCAAAGTCACTCTAGGATGATGGTGGTGTTAGAAGGGCTCTCTTTGTCCATTTCCTCTACCTCTTTTTTAAGTTGTCTGTCTTGTTTGGTATCAGATCTATTGATTGCCAGCCGATTGCTCTATTGTTTTTGACAATGCCTGGAGCATAAATTGCTCCACTTTATGATCTCATTGAATTCAGGCAGGGGTAGTTTTTGAGGCCAGTCTTTGAGGTTTCTTCTGACTTCTTTCTCTTTAGTTGTCTTTTTTCCTGATTCTTGTTAGTGAATTGGGCTATGCTTTACCTTGTTATTCTTAACTAAAAGAAGCTTCCTGGCTCCTCTTAATTGCTTACCACCAAATCTTTTATTTTGGAGTGTGTCCTTAATCTTGAACTTTGCCCACTGTTTCAAATAAGTTCATTTCATTTTGGGAGAGCTTTTACATTCTTTCTGCTTATGAGCTGCCTCTCTCCCTGGATAAAATCTTTGAGCCACGACTCTGGGCTCTTAGTGAGATGGCAACCTCCGGTCTTCTTGACTTGCCTGTTTTGGTGTAGAACCTCTGTCCTGAAAATGAACTGAGATAAGGACAAATATTCCAGTATTTTTGGCCTGCCACTCCTTTGGTAAAGCCTCCATTCTAAAGGAAAGGAGCCACTGACCTCTTGGCCACAAGCATTAAAAACTTAGCCTCTCTAACTTGGGAGTTGAATAGAATGAGAATGCTGAGCTTTTGTCCTTCCCAAGAAGATACCATATCCATAGATTGGTAGCTGAGGAGAGAAAGAGCCCTGTCTTCTTAGCCATACCCACCCAGATGGAACTTCTCTCAAGCTGAGCTAGAGTGAGGAGAGGGAAGGAGCAGATGTGACAAATGCCACAGACTGCCACAGTTTTTACCAAGTTTTAGTAGATTTTCTTGAATAAATAGTTCTTCATTGCTTTATGCCCTTAGGGTAATTTCCAGAGACTGAAAATTTAAAAACAAAAAACAAAAAAAAATATTCACCAGTTATGCCTGTTTTACTGGGAAACATCCATAGAGTACCTCATACTGCTATCCCAAAGTAGAATTCCTCTCAAAACTTGACACTCTATCTTTTACTACACGTTTGTTTTATATCCCAGTTTGAATTATTAAATTTTATTATTTTTCTTGATTTAGGCTTGACAAGTATTTGATTTATTAAAATGATCAAGATATCTGTTTTTGGAGATTCATATCTATATAAATGTATATATTTATAACTTTAATATATTAAAGTATATAATATAAAATTATAAAATTATAATTACAATAAATTATAACATAAGTTATTTTATAACTATAAATATTTATATTTATAACTTTTTTAAGTGTAAATTTAGTTTGTTTTTACATTTACCAACTCATACATACCAGGTAATTTGCTCCAAAGTTATTTTAATGATTATTCCCTCACTCTTTACCTAAAATCTTTTTATTTTATTTTATTTTATTTATTTATTTGACAGAGAGGTAGCGAGAGCAGGAACACAAGCAGGGGGAGTGGGAGAGGGAGAAGCAGGCTTCCCATGGAGCAGGGAGCCCAATGCGGGACTTGATCCCAGGACCCTGGGATCATGACCTGAGTCGAAGGCAGACGCTTAATGACTGAGCCACCCAGGCACCCCTCTTTACCTAAAATTTTAATTATTAGTTTTTGTAAGTTTATTTGGCTAATTTGGCTAATACAATATTGGGTAATGACAGAAAAAATACTTTATGTCTGCTTTTGCTCATAGATTAATTAGTGAAACCATTGCACCAGATGCTAGTTTTCTACATCCGGTTTTGTCTTCAATCTTCCCTACTGCTCACTCAGTCTGACTTCTGTCTGCTTCTCCAAATCAGGATGATGGCCCATCATCATTGGCCTTTGATTTTTTTTTTTTTTTTGGGGGGGTGGTCATGGTATTTGTCCTGTAGTTTCCCATCATTGGTGATTTCATATGCTTTCAACCTCAGCAAGAGAGGTTTCAAATGCACAAGTGTGTCCAGTTGTCTGTCTTGAATCAGGGGATATTTGTGGGATTCTGAGACTCCTCTTGCTGAGTTGGAGAAAAAGTGTAGTGACACTGCTTGGGCTGCAATCCAGCTCTACCACATACGAAGCTTTATGACCCTGGAAGAGTTATTCTTAACCCTGGTTTCCTTACTTTTCATTTTTACTTATTTATTTACTTTTAAAGTTTTTTTTTTTAAGCTATTTATTTATTTGAGAGAGAGAGACAGCACAAGCAGGAAGGGCAGAAGAGGGAGAGAGAGAATCTTAAGCAGTTCCTTTGACCAATGCGGGGCTTGATCCCAGGACCCCAGTCTCATGACCTGATCTGAAACCAAGAGTCGGATGCTCTACTGACTGTGTCACCCAGGCACTCCTTAAAGATTTTATTTTTAAGTAGTCTTTACACCCATTGTGTAGTGAACTTACAATCCTAAGATCAAGAGTCACATGCTCTACTGACTGAGCCAGCCAGGTGCCCCTCCTTACTTTTTAAATGGATAATAGTAGCCACTGCATAACCTTACCAGGTTATTTTAGAAGTTAATATATCTAAAGAAATTATTACAGTACCTGGTATATAACTACTCAATAGATGACAGTAATGATAATGTTGATGGTAGTAATGATCATAGATCATAGAGACAGTGTCTCAGAAACATTAATTGCAGGGGTGCCTGGGTGGCTCAGTCAGTTAAGGTCTGACTTTGGCTGAGGTCATGATCCCAGGGTCTTGGGATAGAGCCCTGTGTCAGGCTCCCCGCTCAGCGGGAAGTCTGCTTGTCCCTCTGCCCCTCCTCCAGCTCATGCGCACACACACTCTCTCTCAAATAAATAAATACAATCTTAAAAAAAAAAAAAAGGAGCACTAATTGCAATCCAGCCTTTGGTGATTTTCATTTGTATTTCCCATTTTGTCTATCTCATTTGTACTATTTCTTTTTTTTTTTTTTTTAAGATCTTATTTATTTATTTGACAGCGAGAGAGAGAGCACAAGTAGGCAGAGCGGCAGGCAGAGGGAGAGGGAGAAGCAGGCTCCACTGAGCAGGGAGCCTGATGTGGGACTCGATCCCAGGACCCTGGGATCATGACCTGAGCCGAAGGCAGCCGCTTAACCAACTGAACCACCCAGGCGCCCCTCTTTTTTTTTTTTTTTACAATTTTATTTATTTATTTGACAGAGAGAGACACAGTGAGAGAACGAACACAAGCAGGGGGAGTGGGAAAGGGAGAAGCAGGCTTCCCCTGGAGCAGGGATCCCGATGCGGGGCTCGATCCCAGAACCCTGGGATCATGGCCTGAGCTGAAGGCTCAGACGCTTAACGACTGAGCCACCCAGGTGCCCCTCGTGTGTACTATTTCTTGAATAAATTCTCCCGAATGTGGGATATATGGGTGCTTTTTTTTTTTTTTTTAAGATTTTATTTATTCATGAGAGACAGAGACAGAGAGAAAGAGAGAGAGAAGCAGAGGGAGAAGCAGGCTCCCAGGGAGCAGGGAGCCCAATGCGGGACTCGATCCCAGGACCCCGGGATCATGACCTGAGCCGAAGGCAGACGCTTAACCATCTGAGCCACCCAGGCGCCCATATGGGTGCTTTTTTATCTTAGCGCCTTTACGGATAAAGATTTTTTCCTTACTTCCTTATTTGAATATTGAAGTTTTTAAGTGGGGAGGAAGAGTTAGATATATGTGATCAAGTAACATTCTTTTCCAGCAATTTGTCATTAGTTTCTTGGCTTCTGTTACATTGCTGTCATGGTTTTAATTTTCATCCTCTAATTGTAAATAAAACAAACAAGAAACAAAAACCTGAGTCCCTTTCTTTGATGCCTAACTGTTGATTCTGTCCTTGGGCCTTTACCCACTATGTATGTTCTCTACAACTATTCCTATCCTTCAGCCATGGATTCAGATCTCAATTTTAGGTTGATGGCTAATTCTCATTTTTCTTCATACCTCAAACTGCATAGTGGACACTTCCATCTAGAAGTTCTATAGAAATTTCAAATTTTGCGGGGTGCCTGGGTGGCTCAGTCGTTAAGTGTCTGCCTTCGGTTCAGGTCATGATCCCAGGGTCCTGGGATCGAGCCCCACATCGGGCTCCTTCCTCGGTGGGGAGTCTGCTTCTTCCTCTCCCTCTGCCTGCCACTCTGCCTACCTGTGCTCTCTCTCTCTCTGTCAAATAAATAAATAAAATCTTTAAAAAAAAAAAAAGAAATTTCAAATTTTGCACATTCAAATTTTTATACCTCTCCTCATTCCTCCTGCCTTATTTCTCTTCCTTCTCCACTTTCTCCATGTTCCCTTTCTCACTAGGTCACACAGTCACTGGGACAGGTTCTGAGACAGTTACCTGTGAGTCATGTCTAACTCTTTCAATTCTGTCACAGACCAGTACAAATCAGTGACCACTATCTTCAGTTTCCTGCATAAAGATGATGAATGCTTAAGTTGATTATTAACTCAATAATCGACATCTCACAGGATATTTCTATGATGGTTTGTTTTCCCTCACAATGTAATATAAGATTAGGTAAATATGAAGACTTGATATACAGTTTGTAGTGAACTCTGATCCCTGAATTCACGATGTACATGAGTTCTTACATATTTTGGCCACTGCATTGAAGTTTGATGACTTCATACTAATTAGGATTGGTTTTTACAGGAAACAGTGACATTTAAGGATGTTGCTGTGGACCTCACCCAGGAGGAATGGCAGCAAATGAAACCTGCTCAGAGGAACTTGTACCGGGATGTGATGCTAGAGAACTACAGCAACCTAGTCACAGTGGGTAAGGCTAGCTTTGCAATTTTTCATGGAATTCCTTTCCATTTTTGAAGTGTATGAGGACTTTAACTTGCCAGATGAATTTAGTCTGCCTTGTCTTCACATGATTGTATGTACTCATCTTCAGGGTAAAGCCTGATTCCTTTGTCTCACTTTAGAAATTCCTTTGTCCTCATCCTTCATAGGCCCTCAAGCCCCTAAGACTCAGACCAAGGTGTGGATGGTGGTATCCAGCATTAACATCCAAGTCCTTTGCTGTTTCCTGTAATAGGTTATCAAGTCACCAAACCAGATGTGATCTTCAAGTTGGAGCAGGAAGAGGAGCCATGGGTGGTAGAGGAAGAAATGCTTGGGAGGCACTGTCCAGGTGAATAAGTAAAAAGGCAGCTCTGAATGAGAAAGCCACATGACAGTTGTTCATGTGGTTGATACCATTTCACATTTTCCAAGATTTTCTTAAAAGCCCTAGTGTTCTAGGGTGACAAATAGTATGAATGGATTGGATTACTTTGACATTTCCAGATACTTTCTTCTTCCTTTTCCAAATTTTAGAGGGCTGGTAGTTCCATCAGATTTCAGGATGCCAACCTTCTCTAATTCATTTATGGCCTCAGTTTCAGGATTATTGTCCCTCTCTATGATCTTTAAGCTCTCTTTTTCCTTAGTATTCATAGTTTTAGTTCTAATTCCTTATGTATTCAGCATTTCATGGATGTGTAGTATTTTAAAAGTATATTTGTTTCACACTTAGATTCCTTTCAATTTCTTTCCATTTTGAAAAGCTATAGACAGGGTGCCTGGGTGGCTCAGTTGGTTAAGCAACTGCCTTCGGCTCAGGTCATGATCCTGGAGTCCCGAGATCGAGTCCTGCATCGGGCTTCCTGCTTGGCAGGGAGTCTGCTTCTCCCTCTGACCCTCCTCCCTCTCATGCTGTCTGTCTCTCATTCTCTCTCTCTCTCAAATAAATAAATAAAATCTTTAAAAAAAAAAAAGAAAAGCTATAGACATATATTCTATAACAGTACTCACAAGTCCCATTTTACTTCACAACCCTCATAATCCCATGTAGCTTTAAGTTTCTGCCTTAGAAATTGGTGCCCTATTCCTACTTATTCCCACCTCCCATTATGTTAATTTTTTAAAAATGTAAATATGCACACTTCAGTGCGCCTGGGTGACTCAGTCCATTAAGCATCCGGTTGTTCTTAATTTTGGCTCTGGTCATGATCTCAGAGTCATGAGATCGAGCCCTAGGTTGGGCTCCACGCTGGGTATGGAGACTGCTTGGGATTCTCTCTCTCCCTTTCCCTCTGCTCCTCCCCCACCTGCTTGCTGTCTCTCTCTAAAATATATATGTATTTCAATATATATATTGCTCTCTCTCAAAAAAAAATATATATACACTTGGTTAAAGAACATAAATAATCCAAAAGATACATTGAAAAGTAAGTCTCCCTCTTGTCCTTAACACAGAGTCCCTTTCTTTCCCAGTTGCATACATTCTTTCTCAGAGTTGTGCTGGCTCTTCTTGATTATTATTTTACCATATGAATGTTAGATACAACTCTCTATTTCCAGAGAAAAACCTATTGGACTTTTTATTGGGAATGTATTAGGTATATAAGTCAACTTTTGGAGATTTGACATCTTTAGAATGTTGAGATTTTCTATTAAAGAACATGTTCTGTCTTTGTTCAGATCTACTTTGTATCCTTCATAAATGCTTTCCAAGTTTTCCCTTTATAGCTTTTGTATATTTCTTAAGTTTATACCAAAGTATTAGATAAGAGAAAAAAATAAGTACTGTACTTTCTGTCTGTGCTTTCAGCACTGTGCTTTCTGTCATTGGAAAGGAATCTATAAACTCATCTTTAAGATAAAATTGTATCCCTGAAAAACACAAGAGAATCAACTGAAAAAGTATAACAAACAGTAAAAGAATCCAGTGAGATGGTAGAATATCAAATTAACAAATAAAAATCAATAGCTTTCATATATACTTCAACAACCAAGTAGAAGGTGTGAAGGAAAGAAAACCACATTTATATTTCTAACAATAAAGATAAAATACTATTTTGGGCATGAGCATATAACAGTATACAAAACAAAGTCCTGTCCTCATGGAACTTATAATTTATTGGGAACTAGAGTCCTTGAGTTTTTGCCCATAAGAAAATATCTTTTTTTCTTACCCTTTATTATTTGGCTGTGTATAAAATTCTTGAGTCATACTTTTTTTCCTAGATAGTTTTTTGTTTGTTTGTTTGTTTTGTAGACAGTTCTCTGAAGACTTTAAATAATCCTCTACTATCTCCTGGCTTTGAATATTGCTAGGAGACATCTGAAGTCTGATTGGTTCCCCTCATAGGTGACTTGATTTGTTTGCCTTGGATGCCCATAGGTTTCTTTTTCTTTTTTTTTTATTTTTAAGATTTTATTATTTATTTGACAGAGAGAGACACAGCGAGAGAGGGAACACAAGCAGGGGGAATGGGAGAGGGAGAAGCAGGCTTCCCGCCAAGCAGGGAGCCCGATGCGGGGCTCGATCCCAGGACCCTGGAATCATGACCCGAGCCGAAGGCAGATGCTCAATGACTGAGCCCCCCAGGCGCTCCAGGTTTCTTTTTCTTTAAAGCTTTAGAACTTTTGGGCACCTGGGTGGCTCAGTTGGTTAAGCGACTGCCTTCGGCTCAGGTCATGATCCTGGAGTCTCGGGATCAAGTCCCGCATCGGGCTCCCTGCTCAGCGAAGACGCCTGCTTCTCCCTCTGACCCTCTCCCCTCTCATGTACTCTCTCTCATTCTCGCTCTCTCAAATAAATAAATAAATCTTTAAAAAAAAAAAAAAGCTTTAGAACTTTTGAGGCCTATTAATCAATCACTGTCGGTTTTTCATTTCAACTTGTATATTCATGTTTTTTGGTTCTAATTAGCATTATCGCATATTGCTGATGCAGATTCCTTTTACAATCACCATTACTCATCTTTAAGTGAGGTTATTTCTTGCTGGACCAATTATTTACAGAAGAGTGTTGAAGGTTGTCCGGAAAAATGCTCTGAGTGAATGGGAAACCCTTATCACTCATATCAGCTTCCTTTATCATTCAGGGTTTTGTATTGAGAGTTGGTTTGCCCTTTACTTCTTCCAAATCAGAGATTATCAGTTGCATGCTTCCTCTAGCGTGCAGTATCCCTTCTACTCTCCTATGTCAACAGACTGCTTATATAAGAATAATGGCTGTTTGCATCTTCTTATTTAGTCCTGTCTTCCCTACCATTTGATAGGGCCAGATGAAGACCATTATGTTCCTGCCACCAGTTTCAACACATCTGGATCACACTGTTGCAAAAAATAATTAGTTCATTCTGCACACAGAGTGTGCCTTCTATTCAGAGGAACTCTGTTCACTGTGCTGTCTGAGATAAGAAAGAACAGCCACTATCTCCAAGTTTCTTTCCTACCTAGTCCAATCTATCCTCTGGTCTTTATTTTCTGGAATTGGAGTTTAGCTTCCTTTTAGTTTCACTGAAGATGTATTTTCTTTTTGTTTTCTTCTTCACTTTTACAGAAAGAGGACAGGACACAGAGATGTTTAATTCGACCATTTTGAAACAGGAAGTTTTCTATGCTATATTTGATCCCATGGATCACCCTTTTTGGAAATGTCTTTCCTTTTGCTCTTCTCTAAAAGATTCTGATATCCCCTCAGTTCCCGTTTATTGTTTATTTCCTGTTCCTTTAGGAAATGTCTTATATATGACTTCTTCTTTCAGCCCTTACTGGGCATTATCCAGAGCCATTCTAAATTACATATAGATCCTTTTTCCTTTATGTACCTTCATGACATAGGTGTGTTCATGCCTTTAAATCAGTATTTAACTACAGAAATGGCAACATTTAATGTCTCCAATATTTGGAAACTCTTCTCATCTTTGCCTTTAATTATGAGGGTTCTTACCTATTGTGGTTCTGTTATTTAACTTGGAGTTCGATTTCTTATAAACAGTCCCCAACACTTCTAGCCATTATAGATCTCCCCTCATCTTTGAGCTAACTTTCTAGTTTATGTTTACCAGAATGATATGAAGTCTTAAAACATACTGCTTATATGTGTTTTCATACTTGATTTCTGAGGCTTAATCCACCAAAAGAAAGACTATCTTATTCGTCATGTAATGATTCATGAATTGATTGATGTAGAGCTATATTGGGAGAGATGCTTCTTATTGCTTTTGTTGTTTTAAAATATTTATTTGGGGTGCCTGGGTGGCTCAGTTGGTTGAGTGTCCGACTTGATTTCAGCTCAGGTCATGATCTCAGGGTCATGAGATGGAGCCCTGCATTGAGCTGCTTGGGCTCTCCACTGGGCGTGGAGCCCGCTTAACATTCTCTCTCTCTCCCTCTCCTCCTCCACCCCCACTCGCACGCGCGACTCTCTCTCTCTAAAAAAAATAAATAAAAATGAGAAAAAGATAATATTAAAAAAAGCAAAACATAAAAGTTTTGAGAGGAAAATTACCATGACATGTTCATGGGGTAAAATTTGAAGCATAGCTTGATTGGAAAAGGGGAGACCTTAAAGGATTATGAAATAGAGGATGGGTTATCTAGTGTAGAGTCAGAGAAGTCTGAACTTTGCCAACCTTCATGCCCTCTTTTGTATTTTTAAAACTTTGTTGGTAATTTAGTTCAATTTTTTCCCTTTTTAATTTTTTTAAAAGATTTTTTTCCCTTTTTTAATCACTGAACTATAGCTATAGTTTTGCTTTATGTATGGTGGCAGGTTACAACAGTAGTTTATAGGCTGGGACTTAGAAGATAACTGAATATAAAGATTAAAAAATGTCTAATTATCTGAATTTTAAGTTACCCATAGTTGAACCTAGCGAAACCATTATAGAGCTAATAATGTAGGAAAGAATAGTATCATTTTGCGTAACAGTATGTCAGCCATGAAGAAAGAACAAAAGCAAAACACAACAGGATTTGCTGGTAAGGACAGTTTCAGCATGGAAAAATGAACATAGGATAAAATGATAGTACCTGCTATTAGAACAATGCAGTGAATCAGATCTTGAACAAAGATGACTTGCCTTGTGATCTTTTCATTGGATGCTTACTTATATGCCTTGTTCTTTAAGCACATAAGAGAATGACTTGCAATTAGATGGAAAGTTGAAGCTGTTGCCATTGTTACTACCAATTTGGGGCTGGATTTAGTTTGGACAGCCTAAGCTTCAAGTGTTTTTATACAGAAATAAGGGAATTAAAACTTATGAAAATTAATTTGCCTTTCGTCTGCAGAATAGACAAGAGCTAAACTTCCTAGGATCATATAGCAGTTAATCTAGGCAAAAGTAGTAAGAA